ACACACACACACACACACACACACACACACACACACAAACACACACAGACAACCCCGTGACAATACGCGTTTTGTAACGCTGTTACACGGCACAAAACGCATAAAAATAATTAAAAGCGATTTGATGGAATGACTTCGAATGCATCGCTACTGAAGGCCACTGTTCCGAGATGGATTTTTTTGAAACGCATTTCATTCATCGTCAGCGTGCCGGTCTTGTCCGATAGCAAAAACGAAATTCGGCCAAGTTCTTCAGGAATCGTACTGCTCCGCACTACCGTATCTGAACAAATTCAATATCACACTTCCCTTAGTTGCTGACTTTCCTAAAATCTGATATATGAACATTCATAACTAAATGATAATCCATAAATCGCTTCAGAAAAGAGAGCGCAAGAAATAATAAACTAAAACCGTTTTTGCATCTAATGGCACAGCTGACTAACTGCATTTATCCACAACAAAAACGCAAGATACGTACCCTTCTCTGCTACTTACTCTCAAGCCAAGGAGTCAAACCTGCCATCCACTTGCTTGTAAGCAACCGTCAGAAGAAGGAACAACGAGAGTTTTGCCAGCGGGTAGCTGGTGTTGGCATTTGCTACTAGTCGGACTACTGCCCAAGTGCCTACGACTCTCAGTAGTAGCGAAATTCGAAGGGGGTTTTCACTTGATTTTTAAGAGTTGTGCACCAGTAAGTACTGCCTCACACATGCCAACCTGTCCTTCAACTGGATGTTGCGCAAAAAACTACTCAACGAGAATTTCTTCCACATTTTCATATATTTCTTTAGTTTGGCTTATAAAAATCCGATAATAAACAACAGCTTTTTTATACGAGGGAGATGAGAAGGAAAAGTGAAGTAGGTAGATGGGAAGAGTTCACAAGCGTGATGGGAAAAGTTATCTATTGTTGCATCGATGAAGAAAAGCAGCAACAGCTGAATAAAGAGCCAGTTATTGTGGATAAAACCCAAGTGGTAAAGTGCTTTATCTTAGTTTGGTGGCAATGTTTGGGGCGAGACAGTAATGCTCAAACATCTCAAAGTGATATCTCGAAATGACTAAAGCCCTGTAAGTGCTTCTTTCAAAAAGTCAAGCCTTTTTAATCTCTTTGGGAAAGAAGGAACGCCAAAGTCCTCAGTAAGCTGACTATCATGCGTCAAACCAAATGGGAAAGTTACTAGCTAAATAGCTGAGGGATCAAACTAAGAAATTCAGCTGATCCAAGCATTTCAAATAAATACGGTAAATAATACACCTTTTTAATCTCTTTCGGGAAAGAAGGAACGCCAAAGTCCTCAGTAAGCTACAGCAACAGGTGCCCTTCACCAAACTGTTGGCTGGCAGTGCTGCTCATTCGCCCTATTATTTTCATTAAATAAGCACAAGATATAAAAAAAGTCACGAAGCTGTATGCTCAAGATAACAAAAAGTAGCTTTTGACTACCTTTGATGTGATGATCTCTTCCAATCTGCCACGAATAAAACAGCTTCGCCATGTCCAAGTTGACGCGTAACGATATGGGTATGATGTATGAGAAGAGCAGAACGAATCTCATCAGATAGCGGTACCTGAAAGAGCACATTTTTAGTCACCAAATGACACATTTGCATTACTGGGTATTCAAAAATCGCTTAATTAGTACATGTTTCAACAAAATTGTGTCACAAGCAATCCCAGCAGGAAGTAGAGAAATCGCTCACCAGTTTTTGTCCAATCCCTTCATGGCGACCATCACTGAAGCAAGCACAACCACAAACAAGAACAATATTTTCGTCAGATTGTTCACCTGGAAACTCCCGAAAAGAATAAGAGGAAAATTCGACTAAATATAGCTAAAAGCAGCAAGAGAGCCCGAACAATTAGCGTGAGCATTTCATGCCAGTCACGTTACTGGGGTGTTCCCAAACGCCAGAAACAGCTGCGTCGGACGCCTCAGTCCCGAGCTGCACGTCCCCATTTGTAATTTCCACGTGCTCGATGTACTACGTAACCACTGCAAAGCTCCAAATTCGTAATTCGGTTAATAAAAAAACGCTAAAAGCAGAGCGCAAAAATGAGCGGGACAAAATCCTTCACTTAAATGAAAGAGGGGAGCCAAAAAGCACTGGAGATTACCTCAATGTCAAGCAGGCCTACTTTACTTTTCGGCAATGTTGTATTCATGACCGATCGAGTTTCACGACCCGTGTACACAACCACACCAACAACACGACCACTTGCAAGTACCGTGTTCGCCCAAAGCACATTTTCGACGTTCA